CCCCGGGCACGGACCGGCCCCGGACCCCCCTCACCCACGGGGCTATTCCGCCTCCGGCAGAAATGACGGAGATTTGTCGCGCCCGGCACCGCCCCCCTCCCCGCTTCAGTTTTATTTTCATTTTCACCTTTACAGAGCACACCCCGGGCCCCCCGCCCGGCGGGAAATTCAACCGCAACTGAACCCCCAGTACCAGCGCCCTCTACCCCTCCAGCAAGAGCAAGCTCCTTCTTTGGAAAAACAGAGCTATTGATCCGGTTTATTTTGCTTTTTGCCCAGCCCACCCCTGCTCCTCAGGGCAGCCCTCCCGCCCGGACAGAGACGCCGGATCCGCCCAGCTTGTGCCAACGGAGCCCGACGACCCTGCCCTCGGAGATAGGAACCCCAAACACCGGGCCCAGCGCCGGCATTCATCTGCTGCACCCCAGAGGAGGAGCTCCCCAAAGAGACCCACCTCTGCCCCAAGACACACGTGGCACCCAGAGCTTTTGTGTTACAAAAATATTCCGTGCTTTATTTACTCTGTGATAGAAAAATAACATGGCCAGGACCCCAGAGTTTCCCACCCAGGCAAGGGCAGAAGCAGCGGGCAGAGGGCTCCGCTCCCCCAAACCCCCTGCCCACCCCACTGCCATCGCTGGGTGCCCTCGCACCCTGCCACCCTCACACTGCACCGGCTCCAGAGGGGACACCGAGGCCGGCAGCCGGAGGAGCTCCTGCATCCTTGGGGGCAGAGGAGAGGATGAGATGCAGGGACCCAGCCACTGTGGAGCAGAGCACCATCACGGGCCGGGGGAGCCCTGGCAGAACCCCTCCTCTGCCCTCTGCCCTCACGCAGCCCTGGTCACGGAGCCGCGGGGAGAACAAGAAGGCGACATGTACATTCTTAGTGACGACTGCGAAAGCGAACCTGAGGCCGGGCTGGGGGCCCCCAGCAGCCCCACTGGGGGGTCAGGGGCTGCAGGGCCAGTGCTGGCAGAAGCGGAAAGCCGAAGCTGGGCCTCTTAAAAGGAACATACAGGAAAACCATGCGACAAATCCGCTGCCGTTTATACAAGGGCATTAACACCAAAGAGCTGGACGCCAGCCTGTGTTTCGGGGCAGCACAGAGCAAATCCTGGGGGCAGGGCCCACCCGCTGTCCCCTGGCACAGAGACACGAACACAGCACAGTCCCCGCAGCGCCGGGGCCAGGGGCAAGGCAGCAGGCGCGTGCCTGTCACGACTGGGCGTGGGGGATCCACTGACTGTCCACAGGGCGCCGCAGCAGCTCCTCCACATGCCTCGCCACATCCATCGTGTCTTCCAGGTCAAAATCACCCTCGGGGTCCAGCACAGGGTCGGGGCTGTGGGAGACAGGCGGTGAGGGGAGGAGCAGCTGCAGCAGTGCAGGGCTAGGGGTGTGATACTCACTTCTGGGTGTACATGTTGTAATGAGGCTGGGAGCAGACGGCAGGCGAGGGGGCCTGGTCCATGTAGGTGGCCCCTCCAGGGCCAGAATCTCCTGATGCATTGACAAACCTGTGGGGAAGGGTCTCATGAGCACTGGGTGTCCTGTGGGTGAGGTCACCAAGATCTCTCAGAAGGCTCAGCACCAGTGTGGCCATTGGTGGTGGCTCTGAGCTCCTCAGTGCCCTGGGGTGCCACCCAACCCAGCCAATTCAATGCTGGGAACCCATGGCAACCACTGCCCAGGATCTCCCTTCGGGGTCAAACTTACTCTGGCACCACTTGCTTGATCTGTGGCTTCACATATCCATCCACAGCTTTAGCTAGAGAGAAGGAAGCAGCACTGAGGCCCCAAACTCCAGCACATGCCACAACCCCAGGCAGTGCTGGGGGCTCACACATGGCCAGATGCAAACCCCCTGTGGGGCCGGGGGAGGCTGAGAACACCAGCTCCATCCTGGCTGGATGCACAAAAGAGGGGACACATGAGGGGTGGAGGGACAGCGCTACCTGGCGTGGACTCACAGAGAACCGGCGTGTAGTACTTGGAGAACACCTCGTCCTTGGGCCGGTCGGGGAACACGTAGTTGAGGTAACTGAGATCCCCGAGGCGGTCAGCCAAGGAGCGGATGGAGAAGTCCCTGGTGGTGAAAGGCATCAGGTTCCAGAACATCCTCTCAGCTGCAAGAGAAGCATGAGGATCATGGTGAATCCTGGAGTTTGCAGCAGCTCCTGGCCGTGCTCTGGACGTGGGCTGTGAGGTCACATCAAGCAGCAAACAGCATGTCCTACACTGCATCCCTCCCCAGAAACAGGATAGAGCACAGGTTGCCAGAAAATGGGATAAGAAAGGAAATACAGCAAAGCCAAGGTAGGTCTGGCCTCATCCTGACACATTCCCCAATCATGGGGCTCTCTGGTGCTTCTCAGTTATGTGGCCCTCCAAAGGACACTCTTGTGAACAGCAACAGACTCCTGCATGGGGTCAGGCCACCCCTGGCAACCCCTGCACTGGGGAGCACCACCGAGTAACTGGATTTTGTACAGTCCACATCATTCCCCAGGGCTGGGTTGAAGGGTTCAGCCTGGGCCCTCCTCCCTGCTGCTGCCAGCATTAGGGCCTGACACAGCCATGGCTGCACTGAGCGAGGGCAGCGCCGCTCCCCATGGCACAGCCAAGGCATTCTGAGGGCTCTGATGCTCGCCTCTTTCCTGAGGATAACTCCAGCCTGCCTGCTGTGGCAGTGCCAGTGCCCCAAGGGCATGAGGTGGCCTGGCTGGGATCCAGGGATACCAGTGCCTGGCACACACTCACAGGAGTCGAACTTCCAGGCGATGGTGATGCCACCGATCTCCGAGTCGCTGAAGCGCAGGAGGAAGGTCCCGTCGGGCTTGTTGATGAGCAGGTCGTGCGCCTGCTGCTTGTTGACGAAGCCCAGGATGGCCCTAGGCAGAGTAGGGCGTCAGGGCTTGGGGCTCGGGCCAGGCTGCACAGGGCAGGGCGGCTCTTACCCGTCATTCCAGTGCGGCTTCAAATGCTTCTTCAGCACCTCCATGACCCCATCAAACCACTGCCAGAAGGTGTAATTCCTCCCAGGCAGGTTTTCCTGTTGAAATCTCCAGATAATGAGCACTCCTGTCAGCAGCCTCTGAGCCACTGTTACACAGCACAGACATTGAGTGCAGCAGCAGAGACTCAGAGTGAGATACACCCCCATCCAGCCCCACCAGCACGAGCACTGGGGGGCTCTGGGCAGAGCCCAGACCACTTACCCGGTTGAACTGGGACCAGGACACTGTGGTGCTGCTATAGTCCTCCAAGTGGGAGCTGGTGCTGTTGAAGAGCTTTTGTGCCAGGAACACCAGGTTCTCCTTGGTCAGCCCACGGCTGCTCTGCACCTCTGCCTTGAACTTCATGTTGAGCGCCTCGCAGAGCTGTGGCCACTGCACCTTGTCAGGCACAGCGAAGGGCACGCGGCCCTGGGGGCAGAGAGCATGGTCAGCACCAGCTCTGCCTCATGTCCCACCAGGAGGCTGAGCCCCACTCCCACACTGCGCAGAGGGGCCCGTCCTGCCCCCACAGCACTGGCACTCACGGGCTCAGCAAAGGCGTTGTCCCAAAGCACGGTGGCCGTGGCATTGTTGTCCTGGCTCCCATGCACAATCACCACCACAGGCAGGGACAGCGTCTGCCGAGAGGAAGGAGACCGGAATGGGCTGTGGGGCACCAAGGGAGCATCACCCACGGGCACCCACGTGGCCCCAGCCCAGCCCCACTCCTGTGGGCACAGTGCCCATGGTTTGCCTAGGCCCTGCAGAAGGGACACGGTGGCTTTACCTTCACCTGGAAGACCAGCTCATTCCCACCGACACTGAACTGCGACTCAAAGAGGATGGTGAATTTCTCCTCTGTCACTGACTCAGCCCCGCGGCGATCCGAGCGCTTGATCCGCTTCAGGGACTGCAGAGACATCAGGAGTAGGATGGAGGAACAGATGGGGACACAGGGGGACACAAGGGGACAGGACAGGGAACAGGGACACTCACCATGTTGCGGAAGTGGGCGCTGAGTGTCCCAGTGGCCTGGTGATACTCCATCACACAGCAGTTGTTGAGGATCTCCCCGCTGCTCTCACTGCCACAGGAATGCACTCAGGGTCAGGGCACACCAGGACTGGGAGCTGTGCAAAGTGCAGCCCTTCCCCCTGCTCCCCACTGCCTTGGCACCCAGCCACACATCCCCAGCCCCTGGCATTACTTGCGGGTGCTCTCGTTCTTCAGCAGGGCCTTGGCTTGCTGCTCGCTGATGATGGTGGCCTTCACTTGGGGGGGGTTCATGTGCACATTCAGCTTCCCGCCCACCAGGAGCCTCACAGTGGCTGCAAACTTGGTCTGTGTCTTCAGCACTTGGGGGGGCTGCTTCTCGATGATGAAGGTGCTGGGGGGATGGGGAAATCAGGGGGAGCTGGAAAGGGGGGCAGAGCCAAACTGGCCCCACACCCAGTTGGGCCCAATTGTACCTGGTGACCAGGGCAGAGATGATGTCAGTGATGGTTCCATTCAGCTCTGACAGCATCTCTTCCACTGGGCCTGGGATTGGCAGCTGCTGGCACAGGTGCTCAGCTCGGCGGATCTGCTGCCGGTTCTGCCAGATGATCTCTGCCAGCTTCTCACACCTGGGGGGAGCAGGGCTCAGCATCCACTGGGCTCAGCACCCCATCCCACCCCACCCCACCAGGCACTCACCAGGTCTGCAGCACATCCAAGGTGCCTTCGGGTGGGCCCCCATTCCCCGCCAGCTGCTGCCGACGCTTCCACTGGATCAGCTCGTCATCCAGGATGGTTGTTTGCTGCTTGCGCAGCAGCTGCAGCGTCTTCTGGTGCTTCTCAGCCAGGTCCTGCGAGGTGGGACAACATCAGAGCTGCAGGGACAGTGTCACAGGGCATCATGGGGACAGCATCATGGGGAACCAGGTGGCATCACTCACCACACGGTACTGCTGTAGTGTCTGGGCCTCACGGTGCAGCCAGGCCTCCAGCGACGCCTTCTTCTGCTGCAGCGTCGTCTCCCGTGACATGCGCTCCTGGGGGCCCAGCTGGGAGAGCTGGGAGAACTGGGCTGGGGGACAGGGCATGGTGTTAGGGCTGGCCCTGCCAGCACCCCAGGCCCATGCCCCTCGGTCCCCCACCCACCTTGGAGTCGCATGTTCTCCTGGTACTGGATGATGAAGTATTCCTGCGTCTGCTGCAGCTTTTTGAGCTCATTCTCCGAGTCCTGAGTAATGAGCCGCAGCTCCTCGAAGGTCTGGTTGATCTGCAGGTGCTTCTGGGACATGGCATCCACCAGGGAGCCAGATGGGGAAGGGCTCTGCAGGAGGCACAGGGTGCACTCAGCACAGTGAGGGAACCCTCCCTATTCCTGCCTCAGAGCTGCTCCCATCATCATGGAGCAGAGCCCCTGAGCATCCCCCCAGCCTCTCCCTCTCCTCACCCCTCCCAGCCCACACTCACATTGTTTGCCTCCCGCACCAGCCGCTGCTCGTGGTAGAGGATGTGCCGGATGCAGCGCACCAGCTCCATGGGGCACCGGTCATACGTGTTCTGTGGGGAAAGCACTGCCTGAGCCAGGCACAGGGCAGGGACCCCCCTGGCCCTGCACCCCTGCTCACAGCCCCCCACTCGCCTGCAGCTGCGTGGCGTAGTGCCCCAGCTTGATCTTCAGCAGGAAGCCGTCCTCACCCACTTGGTGGTCTGCCTTCTTCTGCAGCTCCTGGATCAGCCCCTCCAGAAGCTGGGTCGCTTTCACATTCTCCTGGGGGTTGTCAAGGTCGATGGAGTCCCTGTGTGTGGATCAGAGGGGTGTCAGGGCACCTGTACCCTGGGGCAGCCACAGTACCCCCAGGGAAGGGCACACCCTGACCTACCATGCCTGGCTCTCGATCCACTGTGACAGGTAATGCCGCACCTCGATGGGGAAGTGCTGCCCATAGAGCGCCTGCATCTGCCGCAGGGCTTCGCCCTGGAGCTGCTGGGCCTGGATCCACACCGCCATGGTTCAGCACCTGTGGGAGACACGCTGTCAGGGCACCAGCAGAGACAGGCGGGCACTGTGCTGCAAGGGGTCTGGCCTCAGCTGTCCCCACACCCTCTGCAGGAGTGCCCGAGTCCCTGTGGTGCCAGCCCTGTCTCCAGCTGCTGAAAGAAAGGGCGTGCGGGGGCAGTGGACCCTGGCTCTGAGTCACCCCCTCTTTTCTAGGAACAGCTCTGGGGGTGCCCAGGGCCAGGGATGTGCCTCTGCATGGCCTCTCCACATGGTTCTCATTTCCCCTCAGTGCACCACGGGATCGCAGCCATCGCTGGCCACGCGAATGAGGAAACAGGCCAGGGGGAGGGAGGGCTGCCCAGAAATCCAGGGTGACGCAGAGCAGAGGCCCCCCCTGCATCCACCCCGCTCCTGCCCACACCCTGGCAGCGCCAGCAGGCAGGAGCAGCCCCAGCCCCACAAGCCCACGTGGCACCATAGTCCCTGACGAGTCCCTTGTGTGCCCCAATTCCAGGTGGAGACACACAGACCTTCCCAAAGAAGTTATGGGGCAGCTCTGACTCCATGCAGGGATTCCAACCACTACACAGCCTTGGCTCCCCCGGGGGCAGGCAGGGATGAAGTGGTGGTGACAGCACCTCTGGTAAAATCCAGTGTGTCCCCTGGGTCACCTGTGGCTAGAGGGGGCTGGAGAAACAGCCTGCAGCTGACTGTGTGAGGGTGATGTGACAGCGAGTGACACAGGAGGGTCTGGGGGACTCAAGGCCCCCCCTGAGTGAGGAGGCAGCAGCAGAGTAAACAGCATTTAGATACGCTCACACTCTATCCACCTGGGATTTGGCACCACACAGAGGGGCCAGGCAGGGGCACAAGGCCTTGGATGTGTCCCAAGGCCGGGTGACCAGGCCAGAACCTGATCACTGCACTGGCTGGTGACAAGCAGAAGGGGCTGAGCCAGTGGGGGCTGTGCTTCCCCCTCTCCCCGAAGCATTTTGTTCAGCCTCAGAAATACCCAGTGGGTCATAGGGCTCCAAAAGAGCTGGTGCTGTCACACAGTGAGGGGCACATGCTGGGGGACAGTGGCAGCAGGTCCGAGTGGAGCAGCCACAGCCAGAGCCCCCGAGCCACGCACAGCTGCCCCTGAACAGGAAGAGGAACAATAACCCAGAGCTGGCTAAAAATGAATTTTTCCTCTATAAAAAGGGAGGAACATTTCCACATTCACAGAAATCACCAAGCTGGAAATGCTGCTGGCAAGGAGGGGCCTGGGGAGGCAGAAGAACGCCAGCAAGGAGGAAAGGGAAGGTGGGATGGCTGACAGCAGGACATGCTGCTGTTGGAAATTGCGGACGTTTGATAAGGGGCAGAGCCAAGAACAGCCACGCCAGTGCCACTGCACCACAAAGTGACCGAAGTCCCCAGCACTGTGGGGACATCTGCACGGACACAGAGCAAACAGACACTGCCCTGCCTGTTGATAAAATGGTGATCTCTTCCCATCTCACAGTGACAAAACACTTCCTACTCCACTCTAGCATGTTGTTAAGCAACGAGTCTCTGGCTGCTCTGTGGTGAGCTGGCAGGCACTGCATTTGGCCAGTGCCAGCCTGGCAGCAGGAGCACCAGCACCACAGCTGCCTCTACAAGGGGCTGTGCAGTGGCTGACAGTGGCAGAGCTCACCTGGTGTGTGCCCCAAAACACCATTTACACCAGGCTTGAGCACAACCTCCACAGACACTGTCAGTGCAGCAGGACATGCAATTTCTCCTGGGGGAAATTTGTCTCATTTTTGTCTCACCCGGGGGACAAACCAAACCTGTCCATGGGCTGCAGGGCACAATGACCATCCCAGCAGAAGCAACCAGTGCCACCTGCCACGGGCAGACTTTTGGCCCTGAGACTCAGCACAGCTGGGGCAGCAACTCTGTTTCAGCACAAGCTGCAGCACCGTGGTGCCACCGTGATCCCTTTCCAGGCAGCCCTGCCTCCTCCATCACCTTCCAGCATCACACCACCAGCTGCCCGAGGGATGGGAGCCGAGGGACAGATCCACCCCCATGCCCAGGGACATTCACCCACCCCAGAGCCACCCCCAGCCCCAAGCACTGCCATGGGTCAGCCACGCACGGCAGCCACCGGCCCCATGCGCACTCCAGCAACTGCAAGAGGCAGATAATTGTGGTGGTTTAGGCTACTTTGCATTTACTCGCTGGCAGCGAGCTGGAACCCACCCGCCACTGCAGCTCGGTTAACCAGCAGCACTCGACAAGCCACAGCGACGTGCTCACCAGACTGATTGCCTGTGAAGGGGCACAGGCAGCAGCTTCCCGGGGTAGGGCCACTGCTGAGGAGAGACCCTAGAGCTGTGGGGAGGGACCCCAGCAACACAGGGACCAAGCAGAGAGAGGGGAACCAGCAGACACCATTTCTGCCTCTTACAGCCTCACTGCCCACTGCTGATGGGGAAGCACTGCAAAACCCAATGCAAAACAGGAGAAACCCACCCCGAAGGCCAGAGACAGGAGCAAGGAGAGGGGAAGATGGGGAAGATGCTCGGCTGGGGGCAACCAAGGGACTGACATGATCACACTGGGAAAGGGTCACAGGCATAGTGGCAGTAGGCACCAGCAAGTCCCAAGCTGCAGGAGAGCCAGAGCACATCCGTGGGCAGACAAAAGGAGGGAAATGCCTCACAGGATGAGGACGGCAGCAGCAGCTTCCCATGTGCACGGCAAAACACAAACACAAGCAGCAGCTACCCCGGAGCACGCTCTGCACGGGATGCTCACTGCAATCTGCCGCGGGACGCTCCTGCACAGAGCCAGCCCACAGACCTCATGAGCAGGACACCCCAGCCCTGGCGCTGGCACAGCCCCCGACAGCAGCCCCTTGCCCAGAGCCATGCCCTGAAGGGCCAGGCAGGGGTGAAAGGCTAAGGCAAAGGCCTGGG